TCTTGCTCTTTCACTGGAGGTATTCCATCCACCATCCTGAATGTTTGCTTCCCGATAACTTCGGATGACAGCCCAAGGTTTGGCCTCTAGAGCAGTTTAGAATAAGTCTGTCAAGTCCAGAGTTAGCAAATACATGACCTCATGCACATACTGCACTCCCCTAAACCCATAGTTGACATGAATAATTGATCACAGTCATTCACTGCTGACCACAGTTTCTCAGCACCAATTCCTGGCAGTCATGCCAGCTGATTAGATTCTGTTCTCAAGCCTTTGCTGTCACTAGTGAAATCCCTTTCTACTAAACATTGCATTGTATTTCAATAATATACTGTACCTCTATCCACCAAAAAGACACTTCCCTCTTAGTTTAAAACACCCTTAGTTCCTTCTTTTGCACTTGTTTTGTTTGTTTGTTTGTTTGTTTCCAGAGCATTCTTTGTTAAATCCCACCTTCTCCCAACACATTGTTTATTGTATCCATCCTTTTAAACTCTGATTCCCAGAACTAGGTACCTTCTGCAGAGAATTTAATGAAAATGACAGCAGCACTTTCCCCACCTCGCTAGGAAACTGTCTTATTCAGCTTTGGTTGTTGTTTGTTGTGTATTTTAGATTTTACTTTGTTTTAAATTGTATATGTGTGTGTAAGGGCAAGTGAGTACAGGTGCCCACAGAGGCCAGAAGAAGGAGTTAGATCCCCTAGACCTGGGGTTACAGGCAGTTGTGAGTTGCCTGATGTGGGACCTAGGAACCAAAGTTGATGTTTTCTTCTCTGGATATACCCGTTTTACCTGTTTTTGAAAATAGGAATAACATTTACCTATCTCTTAGCATATAGAACCTTTCTATGCCTGTGATTTCTTTAATGTCACTTAACAATAGATGTAGATTTGTTGCTCTAAGCATTATAATTTGCTAGGACCTGAAGATTTGTTTCATTTGAAATGCCTAGGAATTTTTCTAATGTCTATTTTGGCTTGCTGCTGAGAAGTCATGCTTTATAACAGAGAAAATAGAAATTAAGCAGATTTGCATCTTCAGTTATTTCAGTGTGAAATCAGTGCTGGAAGCCCTGCTTTTCCTAAGGGTAACCTACAAGTGCATTTGCTTTTCTTAACATATCTCACACACTTAAGTTCTTTTATGAAATTTGCTTTTTTTCATGCAGCATGGATGGCTTTGAACACGTCATCTGCCTGTCTTGACTTCCCCAATGCTAGGATTGAAGTGCCTGGCTTAATCTCTCTATTTGAGATCAGCTAATAAGAACCTTTTTATCCACAGGAACCATAACATATTCAGAAGTTCAGATATTAGGATGTGGAAATCTCCAGACAGGGAGGATCATTAATCAGGCTTACTTGAGCTAGGCATTTTGAAACCATCCTGGATTCTTCCTTTTTTTCTGTGCCCCAATATAATCATCCACCAAGTTATATGTGCCCACCTCTTCAAACTCTCCTTGTAGAGAGATGCTTCCGGGGTCTCTAGGGCATTGAAGAAAATGAGCAGACATTGGTCAGCATAGGCACCTTTAGCCACAACAGTTACTTTGTGTTTGTTATTTCTTATTTTGAGAGAGGTTCTCACTCTAGTTCAGACTGTTCTGGAACTCAGTATTTAGTTCAAGTTGGCCTCAGAGCCAGTAACCTTCCTGTGTCAGCCTCCCAAGTGCTGGGAAACAGGCATGAGACAGCTTGTATTGTTTTATATGTTGGATCTCTAAATAGTAGTACTTGTTTTGTGGGGTTGAGAAGGTGCAGAGGATTTATAGAGTTTAGAATAGTTGATCTAGAGTTGAGCTGCTCAACTGGAAGTGCTAGCCCTGCACAAATATTAGTTCAAACTAATAAATTAAAAATTTAGTTCTGCAGTTATACTAGCTTTATTTCACATGCTAGAGATATCCATATTAGACTGTACGATTGTAGAACATTTCTACCTTGGCAAAATGTTCATTAGCGTGGACAACAAAGATGTGTCACCTTTACCCAATACCCAGTGTGAGGTAAGCCTGAGAATAGTTGCTAAAAGATTGTAGATGCTCATTTCCAGAGTTGAAATGCTGCTTGCTTTCTTTTACATATAGGATCTAGGTTGAATGGCATTTGCACATGAAAGTAGAAGTGGGGACTATTTGATAGAGAGCATCTGTAAGAAGGAAGCAACAAGACAGGGCAGTGAAGAAGTGGGGATGATCAAAGTTCATTGTGCATGCATGAGGATGTCCTGGGAAAGCCATTGTTTTGTGCAGGTAATAAGTTCTAAGGGAAAGATGTCTCACTGCCCAGCTGGGTAAGTTGTAAGAGAACCCTCATATGTCTGTCTGTCTTCTGGTTCCTATTTTTATCTTGTGCTATCCTTAGACACTATGCTTCTTTAGCATTTGCACAGCCCATGAAGGACCAACTGTGGGGTATGATGTAGGTTATCTTTCTTGTGCACGTGCTTCCTTCTGCTGCCTGAGGGCCCCCTCCTATGCTTAAGAATATGTGTGCTAAGCCAAATAAATCCTGCCCTTGGCAAACTGCAGCCTTGCAGCCTATTCTAGCAAGAATGCTTGATATCATTGTTTAGTAAGTTAAAATTCCAAGTTCTCCTTTCCTTTCTTCTGAAACTTCTACAAAGTCTCCCTAGCCTTGCATAGCTTTTCTATTATTCCTGTTTATATTTGTTTCTCACTTTTATTATTGGACTCTTTCTTTACCTTTCTTCTAAAACAATCAGCTGTTTCTGGGAAGGACTAAGTAGTAAATACTTTTGCTTGTGTGTGCTAGATGGTCGCTGTTACTGATGCTCACCTCTTCCATTTAAGAGAAAAAGAAATTTATAGGCTATAGTAAGAGGATGTGTGAGGTTATATTTTGGCCTGCAACCTGCAGGGGTAGGCCCCCGTCCAAGATAATGTTCTAAATATTAATTGTGTCCAAAGAATCCTTTGATTGTCTTCCATAGTCATACCCTTCCATTTTGAACTAAAAGTGTTTTGTCTTGCTTTCTCCTTCATTAGGAAACACATTTCAGATTTCTTTGGATTTCATTGATTTTTCTGTGTGAATCAGCAGAAGACCCAGAGAGTCTTGGTGAGTTGTGGTCTCTCATGTCCTCAGATGTCCAGGAAGTTACTAGTTGTCAGAGCCCAATGTCGTCCTATATTCTTCCATGTTACTATACATAACATACTTGTTGTTAGCCAACCCTCCTTCAGAATTTTCTGCTTCACCTATGTTGGGTTCTGTAAGAAGCTTCCTAGAAGCATCAGTAATGTAGCTTCAGTGTTTCCACTGTTGTATAGATGAATCAACAGGCAGGGAGATTAAGTTGGTGCCTATGATCACATTGCAAATAAAAGTCAGAGCCTGGCTTTGTGTAAATCCAAAGCCTTTGTACTGAAAATACAAGTATAATAAAGTCCACCAATCTACCAACTGATAATTTCTATTGAAAGCCATGGAATAGGGCTAGTGCAGTCATTAGCCACCAAAACCTGACAGCCTGAGTTTGATCCCTGGAACTCTCATTGAGGAAAGAAATGACTGACTCCCATGTGGATGCTGTGGCACACCCCCAACACACACAATTAACAAATGTAAAAAAATGTAATGTAAAACCATGGAATAATTAATTTCTGCCCACCCTACCCCAGTCTCTTAGTTTTGTTATTTGTTGTATTGAGACAGAGTCTCTCTGTTACATAGTTCTGGCTGCCCTGGAACTTGCTATAAAGGTCAACCTAGCCTGGAAATCACAGAGATCCACCTACCTCTGCCTACCTTGTGCTGGGTTTAAGGCTTGTCTACTATTCCCAGTAAACTGTTTAATAAATTAGTGTATGAAAATACATATCATAGACCTTTGCATTTTCAGAGACTTAAATTTGCAGCATACATCCTTCTGATAGAAAGAAGACAAATACACTGTATAATCTGTGAATAAATTTTACATTATCTCTTTTATAAAAATGTCTGTCGATGGGAGAAGTCATTCTATAAATATGATTCTCTTATTGGTTAATGAATAAAGCACTGTTGGCCAATAGGAAAATAAGATAGGCGGGATGAGGAGACTAGGAGGAGAGGAGTAGTAGTAGGGAGAAGATCCAAGATGAGGATGGAGAGAAGAACGCCAGCCCCTCTCTCCGGTAAGATAAGACCACGTGGAAATACTTAGATTAATAGAAATGGGTTAATATTTAAGACAGAGCTAGCTGATAAGAAACTAGTAACTGGCCAACAGCATTATATCAAATACAGAGTCTCTGTGTGTTCATTGGGACTGCTGTGGAGGTGGGCCCAGACTGGCAGAGAAAAACATACTCTAACAGTCTGTGGTATAACTGGGTTTAACTTCCTCTGAAGGGTGTGTCCTGAACGTTTCTGAGGCAAGCTAATTATTTCCTTTGCCTTTTCTACTTTTTATTGTACTTACCTAACTAGCAACCCCTATTTGTCTTTCCAAGTGTTAGTATGAACACTAACCAGTATAGTCCAGCTTAAGCCAAATATACTCCATCAAATATGGAGACCCTCAAGTCGAATGTTTCAAAATTTTTCAATCATGAGAGTACTTATATATTACAGATTTTCCATTTTCCTTCAGAAGATATAGTACATTGGGTGCTAAAGGACATATCACAGATATTTAATATGTATAGTACAAAAGTCATATGCCTATGCTAGTATAGCAGAAAGCAGACCATGTTGCCAAATTTAAGTAAGAAAACATAAAATAATAAAGTGAGCTGGGAGGTAGTTGCACACATTTTTAATCCCACCACTCAGAAGGCAGAGGCAGTCAGATCTCTGTGAGTGCTGATCTTTGGCCAGCCTGATCTACAGAGTGAGTTCCAGGACAGGCACAGCTACAAAAAGAAACCCTGTCTCAAAATGTCAACAAAAAAGAAAACTAGAATTCTATACTTCATGCTAATCAGTTTGGGTCATGGTATTGGGGACTAAAAGTGTTTGGTTGGTTGTTTGTTTTAATTTGATTAGGAGCTATATATTGAAGACAATGTCTGGAAGCTTCTACTTTGTAATTGTTGGCCACCATGATAATCCAGTTTTTGAAATGGAATTTTTGCCACCTGGGAAAGCTGAATCCAAAGTATGTATGAAACCTTAAACTTCTTAAGAATTTTTAGGTTGTTTGTAATGTGTTTTAGAACTGAAATAGATCTGGAGACGAAGCAACCGAGATATAGCAACAATTAAATTAAGGCTTTCTCTGGAGTCCCACAGACTGGTAGAAACCAACGAGTGAAGATGTGTCACCCACTGTGAAATTCTTCTTAAGCATATGGAAATGTAGCCCACCTGTCAGGGGCCTAAAACAATTGTTACCTTAGAATGCTTCAATAGTTCATTCTGTTTCAGCAAATCACATTTTTTCAGCAGAACAGACATAGATCATTTTACACCTGAGGATTAAAAAAGAACCTTACTTCCATATGTTGTCCTATCATTGGGACTATAGCACTTCATATCAGTGGCTTTTGCAGTACTGCTTATACTGTCCCCATCCTACTGGAACCCAGGCTATGTCAGGAAACTAAAAGCAACAGGAGAGGTGACATTTACTTGTCATAATAGTTCCAAAAGGACAAACAAGATTCAAGAACCTAATACCCATCATTCAGAGTAAGCCAAGAAGTTGGTTTTTAAATGAACTGTAATGTATAATCTTAAGCAGGGGATACTTTTCAGCTATTCCAATTGTGCCACCAAAATACCAGAACCATATGTTCATATTATTTTTGTTGGTTATTAGTCCTGTGTTATTTCAAAGCTTTGTCTTTAGGAAAACACTTAAATTTTGTTTTGAGGTAGTGGCAGCAATAGTTCCACGCGAGTTACCACTCACATCCAGTGTCTGTGCACTCCAAAGGCCTATTGGGTAGCAGTACATGAAAACACTTTAATTTGACTTGGTCTTAGCACTTTCTCTGGCTACTGTCACCTTCTTAAAGCATCTCCAGTATGTGCCAATCCTTCTGAAATAGTCATCAGTTTACAGGCATGGGAAACATTGCTGAGGCACAAAATGTATCCATTTCTCTAAGGATTCAGTATCTTTGGCATGGCAGCATTAGGGATACAAACATACTTTAGTTGTGCAAGGGTTCCTGGGCAACTAGTGACCTTCCACCAGCCCCATCCTGGGAACAACCTCCTCAATAAGAAGGTTACATTACTTCCCTGTGGCTGTCATAGCACAGTTCTGAAAAAATGAGTGGCTTAGAACAGAAATGCATTGTAGCACAGTTTTAGGAGCAAATGTCTGAAATTGAGGACTTGGCAAGGCCACAGTCCTTTAGAAAGTAGTTCCCTTGGCTTGTGGCAGCATAATAGTAGTCGTCTGACAGCATTCTTGTGTTCATGTGTCCTAATCTCCCCCTTATTTTTCTAGTGGGGAAAGGATGTGACAGAGTTTCACTCTAACCCTGACTGGCTGGAAATTCCCTAGATAGCCCAAGATGGCCTCCAATTCATGGTTGATTCTCTGTCCTCAACCTCCTTAGTGCTGGGGTTACAGGTATGAACCAGTACAGTGAACCTTTTCCCAAGGGCATCAAGAACACTTGACTAGAGGCCCATTCTACTCCAGAGTGACCTCATTTTAACTAACCACATCTGCAGTGACCATCAGTTTCTAAGTAAGGCCATATTCTGAGGATCATATGCGTTTCCTCAAGGAGACACTAGCAACGGTTCCCAACCATCCTCATGCTACAACCCTTTAATTCAGTTCATGTTGTGGTGACTCCCGAGCATAAAATTATTTTCATTGCTACTTCTTTAATTTTGCTACTGTTATGAATCATTATATAAATATCTGATATGCAGGTGACCTTAGAAGAGCCTGTGAAAGGGTTGTTTGACCCCCAAAGGGGTCACAACCCAAAGGTCGAGAACTATTGCTATATATTACCTATATCATAGCAGGTAGTTTTTTGAAAAAAGAACATTATGAAAGGGAATTCTACAGAAGTAAGACAACATCCAGGTTGTAAATGTCCTTTCTACATATAGTAAGACATTACAACCTTCTTTACAGTTAGGCCATTTTGCCCAGGAAGAGAACACTCCTGGTTGTGACAGTATTGTTTTTACTATTGTCAGAGATGACCATTCATGGTTGGGGCTGAATATGACCTCCCTCTTCATCCCAGATCCCAAAGCCATGTAAACTCTTGTTCTGCAAGAAGCCTATCATAGTTTTTCACATCTATCTCTGCTGTTTCTGATCAGCTATCTGTTTCTGGCTATTGAGGATCCATGCATACCTTTGCATCTTTCCTTAACATCCACTTTGGTCTAGGAAAAGTGCCCTCTTTAATCTACATCTGCATACACAGACCTTCTCTTCTAGTAAGACATGGGCTTCCAGAAAGTAGGATCTGCCTTATTTCCCCCATTAAAAGTAATAGTCTCTTTTCATGTGATTAAATAGTTATAGAATTTGGTAATTGCCTTCTTCCAGCATTCAAAATGCAATGTTTAATATTTTCTTGAGGACATTTATTGACTGTTCCTATTGTTTGAGTGATAGATATCAAGACTAAAAATAATCTTTTATGTTTCATGATGACAATACATTAAGTAAATGCAAAGAATCCACCCCTAAGAAAAACATGTAAGTACAGAATGAAAACCAGGCCTGCTAGTGCATACCTGTAATACTAGCACCTGGGAGGCTGAGGCAGGGTGAGGAATTCAAGACAATTCTAGGCTGCATAGTAAGACCATATCTAAAATAAGAACACACGATGCACACAAATTGACAGAATTTCAGAATGAATTGTCTGTGGTCCCAAGACCATATGGAAATGTTCATCTTTCTCCATTCTGTCATTTAGGATGATCACCGTCATCTGAACCAGTTTATAGCCCATGCTGCTCTAGACCTTGTGGATGAAAACATGTGGCTTTCTAATAACATGTACTTAAAAACTGTGGACAAATTCAATGAGTGGTTTGTATCAGCATTTGTGACTGCAGGGCATATCCTTTCCTTATGTTGCAGATTGCTTTCTGTTGCTATTATAAACATTATGACCAAAACCAACTACAGAAGAAAAGGGTTTATTTAGCTTACACTTTCCAAGTTATACGCCCATTGTTGAAGGAAGTCTGGGCAGGAGCTCAAGCAGGAACTGAAGCAAAGACCATAGAAGAATCCTGTATATTAGGCTTGCTCAGGCTTATATTCATCTACCTTTCTTATACAGCCTAGGCCCATCTGCCTATGGATGGATTTTACTGCCCAAAATGGGCTCATCCCTCCTACATCAGTTAGCAGTTAAGAAAATGCCCCTCAGACATTACCACGAATACTTAACCAAAGGATGAGTTAGAAAACAAGAACGTGAAACATAAAGGCAGTCTCTGAATTTGAAAACTTCAAAGAGTCAGGCTGAGATAAAAAATTTTCCATTTATGAGGCTTTTTTTTGTAAACATGTTTTGTTTAATTGATACTGTTAAAGTGTCTCACATGTAAAACTAAGGTTTATCTGAACCATACCAAGAGCTATTTCACTTTATCTCTGTTTCCTAACTTTAAAAGATTACATTCTTCTTAAGGTAAAGTTACATTGGCTTTAAGCCAGCTTATATATTTAGCTTTGCCATCACAAAATACTGTTCATGTGACTAACATATAGATTATCTTATCAGATGATTATTTTAAATTTTTCATTTCTAATAAAGATTATGCCTTAATTTTTTCACATATGAGATTTATTATGCTTCATGATGTGAGGCAAGAAGATGGAATAAAGAACTTCTTTACTGATGTCTATGATTTGTATATAAAGGTATGGTATACTCTATAATTTAAAATAATCTGATTTTTAAAATGATAGGCTAGAGACATAGTCCTGATTAAGGCATAAAAATTGTTTCTCTTATCACTAGTAATTCCACTTTAGTGTTTTCTCACATATGTTATGAAACACTTATATTAGCTAAGGAACTGATGAGTTTTAACTTTATGTTAAAGGATTTGATTAAAAGGAATACAAGGCACAGTGGCAGATGTCTTTAATCCCAGCATTTAGGAGGATCGTGAGTTTGAAGCCAGCTGGGCTACCCAAGAATTTGAAAAAAAGAAAAGTGACTGTACTTAATAGCAGTAACAGTATAACTTTTTTTTTTAACTGAACATACTAGACATTTACCATTTGTTTACATAATTCAAAGGGCCATATAGATTATATTCACATTTATAATGAACACAAGGTAGATTAAAGATCCATGTTAATGAATATAAGCCATATCAATTATACTACCATTAGGTTAGCTGGTTAGCTGCAGGTACTTCTCAAAACTAAAATACTGGATTCCTGAAGAGGTGCCAGAAAGATGATGCATGCCTGTGATCACAGCACTTGGGAGGCAGAACCGGACGATCAGGAATTGAAAGTCAGTCTCAGACATATGGTGAGTTTGAGGTTGCTTTGGATTACATAATACCCTATCTCAGACAAACAGGTGTGGTAGCATAGGCTAAAATTTCAAGACCTGGGAGACTGTGGAAGAATTCCAGTGAGATTAATGCTAGTCACAATTCAAGGCCAGGCTAGGCTACAGAATGAGAAACTGTCTCCCAGAAAAATTTTCTTTAAGGAGACTTTTTTGTTTTTGTTGTTTGTTTGTTTGTTTGTAAAGATTACTGTTGTATTTTTTTGTCTCTTTGTAGGGCTGGGGGGGCTAGGCTGAGGTGGCACCTGCCATGATATACATAATGGAGAGAGGGCTATGCAGCTTGCAGGAATCAGCCCTCTTCTTCCACCATGTGGGTCCTGGGATACAAGTCTGATTGCCAAGCTTGCCTTTAGGCACTGAGCCACTTTGCCTTTTTGAGACAATATCATGTAACCCTACCTGGTCTTGAACTCACTATGCAGCTAAAGCTAGCCTTGAATTCATGATCCTCCTGCACTTCCCAAGTGCAGAAATTACAAGGGTATATACCTACACCTGACAAAGATGTTATAATTTAACACAAATGCCCTAGGTGTACTTTTCTTCCTGGGTGTCTTTCTCTTTAACCCTCCTGATTACACTCTATATTTAAGTACCTTTTTAAAAAATCTGCTTCTTAAAAATATTAATAATGAAGCACTTTCGATGAAAATTAAAAATAATACTCAGGCTATTGTCTTGCTAAATTTTAAGTTCAAATGTAAATTTCCTTTAGCAACCTGATTTATTAGCCTCTTTCCTTTAACAGACTAATACTTTCTTCTTTCCTAGTTTGCAATGAATCCATTTTATGAACCCAATTCTCCTATTCGATCAAGTGCATTTGACAGAAAAGTTCAGTTTCTTGGGAAGAAACACCTTTTAAGCTAAATGGAGAAAAACTCTGAAAGAGTATCACCATCATGGTGTATACTCAGGAATGTGTGCACTGTAAGTCATCTGAAATAGTCTGGAAAACTTTCACTGAAAATTGTACATTTTCATGTTGATTATCAGCATTAATATTTGCTTGTGAACAGTGTTATTTATAAGGAGCTCTTTACCAGTAATTTTAAACATCTTTATTTAAAAGCTTGAGAATGAACTTTTGACTTTTCTGATTGAAATTATTTGATCTTAATTTATTAATTCAAAAGCACATGTCATAGTTAATATTTGTTACATGTATTTAAAATGAAATGCTTCTGCAGACATGAACGAAATTGAGTTACTTAGACTTTTAGAGAGATTCTTTTAAAATGCATAGTATACTACAGTACCAAGAAGCTGAAGCAGAAAGCCTCTGCAATGCCAAGTGTTACATGCCTGCCTGCTTCTAAACCCTAGACCCATATACACTGGACCAGTTACAGGCCACCGCAAAGTGTGTTGCCTCTGTCACCTTATATTCTTGTGTTTCCTTTTTCTTAGTAAACTAATAAAAGTTTAATGAACTTGTTCTATCAGTACTTAAACATGTTGTAATACAGCTTTGGTATTGCTAATAAAAGCCTGTGTCACACTAACATTTGCTCTTAGCCTTTTAGGCTATATATGGAGTGGGAGGTGGCAGACGTGGCCTCTTCTATAAGAAATGTTGGTTTGATTTTACAAGAACACATAGGCATGGAAAAACAAGTAAACCAGCTTTTCATGTACACACTGGAAGACTTTTTCTATTCTAATTTTTAGGTAAGTAGTTATAAGCCTTCTTGTAGCCTTTTGTGAAGTTACCATCACTCTTTGATTTCTTAAATAAAAATTTACATTCAAGGTTGTGGTAGTTAAATACCTACTTTTAAAATGCAGTCAAACACCAATACTTTCTAAGTCCCATTTCCCTACTGAAGTCTAAAAACTAATATGGCATACCTTAACCCATTTTACAACTCAGATCACAGATCACCTCTCACTAGCTGCTAAAGGCACTCAGGTAAAAATTTAGAACTTGAGGCTGGAGAGATGTTACTCAACAAATAAGAATATGTTCTGTTCTTGCAGATGACTAGGGTCAGCTTCCCAGCACGAAGGTGGAACAGTTCTAAAGGGATCCAATGCCTCTGGCCTCCCTGAACACCTGCACTTGCAGGCACATACTATTAACAATAAATCTTTGTTACATTGAACAATACTAATAGGAGAGACCTAGATACATACTTATTATCATATACAACTTGTCTCACCCTCAATGAGCATATAACCCACACCTAGGGAGATGCTTTAATTCCAGACAACCAGCCACAGCATTCACATTACAGCATGAAGTCAGGAGTGAGACTTGGCTTCTAGCCCTGGAAAGCAAAGGGCACCTTGCAAAGTGCCTTTTTTTTTCAGGCTTATGAGGGCAAGATGGGAATTAGGACCACTCACCTTGTGTGTGTGTATTGCAAAGAACTAATTTTCAAATGTGACTGTCAAGTAGCTCAAGGGAAGGTCCACAGTGACTGGGACCTCAGAGTGTTCAAATAGGAAAGCACCTTTCAGGCATAGAGGCATGGAGCCAGAACCTGTGTAATGGCTACAGCATTAAGCAAACTCATCTGACAAGTCTTAGATCTGATAGGTAATATCCCGACTAGTGTCTGTGTTGACAGTAAATTTACAGTATACATTTATCCTCCAAAGTTGATCCAAAAAAAAAAAAAAAAAAAAAACCCACAAACCTGTTTGTGTAGCTGGAAATTCTTAGGGTACTTCACTCAGTATCATCTGTTTTTGGTGTATTTTTAATACATAGGCACTATTAAGTATTCTGTACATACTCCTCTCTCCCCCTGTGACTAATTTTTAAAGTTTGACGTGTGCGTGTGTGTGTGTGAAGTTTAGAGGGAGGGTACATATGCTATGACACAGGGTTTCTCTAACAGCCCCGGCTATCCTGGAACTCAGTTTGTAGACCAGTCTGGCCTTGAAAGCAGAGATCTGCCTCCCAAGTGCTGTAATTAGAGGTGTGGGCCACCCAAGGCCTGGCATGTTTTAATTTTTAAGACTCTCATACTTCCTAGTTGACAGTCTATAGCATCCCAGAAACCACAGATTGCCTAGACTGCCCTTTTCTCTAAGAACTTACATTGGTCCATTTTTTTTTTCTACTTAACACTTTACTATTCTTGGAGAAAACTTGCATCATGGCATTATTAGATTAACATGAAAGTTAGTGTAGAGATGTAAAACAGTTTAGAGACAAGGAATGTCTGAGATGTTTTAATTTCAACTACAAAGTTTCTCAGAAGGGTAAAAGCTGAAAATTTTTTGTTCAAGTGGTCAAGTGGCCAGCTGCACCTTTATCACTTAAAACGGAGCTTACATGGAAGGCTCTATATAACTACACAGCTTAACCTTAGCTAGATATGACTACTGTAATGAAAGTCAGACACCATATGGCAACTCCACCAACAGGGCCTCTCTCCTCAGGAAGCAGTGATGAACCATGACAGTTCCTCCTATCTATCTGCTGTCTTCCTGGGCACCTGCTTATCACTGCTTCTATTGCAACACACCTGCTTATTTTCCCATCTCATGCTCTTCTTTATTATCCATCTATGTCTAGGTAATAATATCAGCCATCATTGCACCCCTGACTTTCCTCAAAAGAAAATGCTATCTACATCTAACTCATGCTTTTCTTTCAATGTTAGCTAGTTTAATGCCAAGGCTATCCCTTAAGGTTTTATTCTTAAGGTATGTGTAATAAATTGGCCAGTACTCATGGTACTCCTTTAATACACAGTGTGAAGCTGGGTACTTTCTCGATAGACACAAAACTTCTTTGGATCACTGCTTGATGCCTAGCTCTAACCTTCTGAAAGTCAGCTTTAAAAACCAACTAATATAAACCTTCAATAGTAAACTGAAAGTTATGAAAATATTTTTTAAAGTTAAAATGTTTTTAAAAAAAAAGTCATGGGGTTTTGCACACATGAAATTCCTGTGTCTGGAGATAGAAGCTGGAAGGTCAGGACTTTTAATGTCAGCTTCAGCTACAAGAGTTTGTGTCTCATTAAACAAACAAAAGCTAAAAGGACATTCAATCTACAAATAAAAAAATACATCACTGCACTGACGAACTCAGCAGCTGTGATTACCTACACAAGACTGGGTGCATTGATATTCTACTATGGAGGAACTCATGGGTCCCACCCCCTTCCCTGAGGACTTACTGGCAGTTAAAATTTGCTAAGGAGGGGCTCATGAGGCCCCCTACCCCTCCTCAGGATCTGTAGGCAGTTGATGGTCCCTTGAGGGGAGAGGAAGTCATATTCCTCATTGGTATAGGCACTGATAAAGTTGCCCATACTACTGTTAAATACCTATCCTCCAGAAAGTAACCCTCAATACACATGTGTCTGTGTATAGTAAAAACCTCAACATATCTATAGGCTGAGTTATGTCCCCCTAAAATTCATATTGAAACCTTAACCTCCAAAACCTGATTGTGTTACCAACTTGACACAATCTAAAATTATGTGGGAATTCCCAATGGTTGATCACCTTGTGTGAATGGAAGTGAAAATACCCACCCACTGTAGGTGACACCATCCCCTAGGCAAGGGATTCTGGACTGTGTGGACATTGGCGTCAGGTCTCCAAGAAATTCAGAACAAATAGCTATGACTGTATTCTCGTATCTATAATAAAATCCTCAACCACACCTTTTCGTGGTCATATGCTCATTTCATTCATCTGGTGCTTGAAACCCAAGAGGGTATATATGAGCTCCCTTTAAGGAACTCCACCTCTCCTAACAGAACCAAGTTGCTGATCTGACTCTCCCATATGTATGGATCATTTGTTTCTGCTGACTTCTGCCATCCATCATATTTGACTCCAAATTCTAGAGTTCACCTCTTCAGCTGCTTCTTCAACAAACATGCATGTTTTGCTCTTTTGTGACTGTTCTTGAAGCTCAAGCCATGATAGAACTGTGAGCAAGAATAAACCTGTTCTTCTTTAAGTTGCTTTTGTTAGAATATTTAACCACATCAACAGAAAAATTAAAAAAAGAAAAAACTAAAAATGTGACTGTTTAATGCAGGGCATGTTTAATGCAGGGCCTTTGAAGAACTGATTAAACTGAGGCCATTTGGGTGGGGGCTTAATACAGCCCTATTAATAAAGGATCAGGAAGGAGGTCAAGGCCAGCCTAGACTACACTGTCTAATAAATCTATCCATCCAGATACATACATACATACATATGTACATCAATGGAAGTTCACTGTAGCATGAGTTTGAATTGCCCCAATTGAAAATGTTCCCATATGACAAAAACTGTCCCTCCTGCTAGGAAATTATTTTTAAAAACTTAAGCTTACTGCAATGATTTGTTTCCTCTTAGTTTCCAATGGGTTTGGTCAAGAAAGACACGGATTATTTTTTCAAATTCTACCACCCCCCAATTCCCTGCCTAGGAATTCACTCTCCTACTCTAGTATGTCCTTAAGTATAAGGAAGGGTCTTAATCATATTTTAAGAGCAGTCAGGCTAGAATTTGATTGGCATGCTTCCACAGGACTGTTGTGTTGTCAGTGATACCTCATATGAAATCAACTCATGAAAGAATTGCTTACGTGAGGAAAGCCTCAATTGAGAAAGTGCCACAATAACATCAGGCAAGCCTATAAGGTATGGGAGGGCTCAACCAATTGTGGGTAAGGTCTGGTGGTCCTGAGTTCTGTAAGATAGCAGACTGAGCAAGCCAGTAAGCATGACCCCTCCATGGCCTCTGCATCAGATCCTGCCTTCAGATTCCTGCCTTGTTTTTAATTCCTATCCTGACTTCCTTAGACGATGTGGAAGTGTAAGCCAAATAAACCCTTTCCATCCCAAGGTGCTTTTTGGTTATGGTGTTTCATCACAGATCATTGCTGCAAGTTGTCTTTTTAGAATAAAGTTTTGAGAGTAAATCACTGAATAGTGACAAAGATACCAAGGAAATACCTGCATAAATCCAGTTGCCTTCATTACCCTCTCAGGAAGTACAATCCTGAGCTGAAAATACAGCTCACCTGTCATGCCTTTAGACATGTCAGCACAGGCTCATGCCTGTAATTCCTCACCTAGATGGTGGAGGCAAGAAGAGCAGAAGTTCAAGGTCAACCTGAAATACTTTTTTAAAAGCTAGCTCCTTTGTTGGGAAGGGGAATTTGTGTGTGCCACACAACTGAATAAATTAATGTGATAGATTCGAATAAGAAAAGTCATCTTAAAGAGATGGTGATCAAATCAAAAAGCATTGCAACATAAAGAAACACATTATATTTTAATCTTTAATAGTACTGCTACAGGAATTTACTTCCTTGGACCAAGAATAGAATGCTAATTACATAAAAATATACACATATAAAAGTAATTCTCCATTTTCTTGGGGGGGGGACAACCTAAGTGTAATTTCTAGAATAGTCAAGGTTTTTGAATTACAATTCAATTCTTGGTCATCTTATTAGCACTAACATTTTAAACATTAGACCACCATTACAATTTATAAATGTAAGGTGCCATTACTGAGTAAATAGATTTCCTCCAGAGTGCATGTGTCCCTTCTCCCACCAACTAATGAGGCAGCAATATTCATTCGTTAGTTGAATTTTATTAGTAGATGAACCCTCCTGCAAGTATGAATTCTCATTTCCACCTTCCTCATGTGTGTGTGCGTGCGTGCGTGCATGTGTGTGTGCGTGTTTGTAGAATGCACCGACCATCTCTTTAATGCCATCAACAACAAGATGAGTTTGGCTTGGGCTTTCGGTGCAGATTGACTGTGTCTGTCTGAATCAGGTGATCTGACCTATCTTCTGTAGCCAGAACTCTTCGAACGGCCTCCTCAAAGGCAGCTGCAACATTGGTGGAATCTTTTGCGCTCGTTTCAAAGTAAGGATAGTCGCCGTTGTCCCTGCACCAGGCTTGGGCTTCTTCTGTAGATACCTGCCGTTCATTTATGTCAACCTTGTTGCCCAAAATCACAAAAGGAAAGCTCTCGGGCTCTTTCACATCTGCATAATATATGAATTCTTTCTTCCAGTTGCTCAGATTCTGGAAGCTTTGTGAATCATCAACACTAAAAGTAAGCAGGCAACAGTCAGAACCTCTATAAAATGGCGTCCTCAGGCTTCGGAATCGCTCTTGACCAGCTGTGTCCCAAATCTGCATGGTAACAAAATGTCCATCCACCTCCAAATCTTTATTTAAAAATTCCACACCTATTGTGTGGAAGAGCTGGGAATCAAATTTATTGGTTACATATCTGTTCATAAGAGAACTTTTGCCAACTCCACCATCTCCAAGAAGAATTACTTTAAAAAGAGACGATTTTCCTGCCATTATTAATAGTATGGTTTTTTTTCAGAATCCTGTAAAAAAAGAAAAAGGGGGAGGTATTGTTACATGCATTTACACTGTTTCAATCCACACAATTCTAACAAAATCAACATTTAAATGAAATAAAAACACATAACCCCGATTCCTCTTTGCAAAGGAACTACCCAAATAATGAGTACTGTCATTTGTTGTCACTTAAACATGTACCATTCCCGATCCATTTTCATTATTCCCTAGAAATAACAGTAAAGTCTCATTCTTGCCCTTCCTTGAATCATAGCTAACTCCAAAGACCTTTCTGAGCCATCACTATCATAAACTCCTCCTAGCCCCAACCACCCTAAACTGATAAAGGTGGCAAGAGTCCAAAGTCCATAGGTTTCTTTAACAACAGCTCTTCAGTCCCTAGTTCATTGACAGATGTTCCTACTGCCCTTCCCCTTGTCACCTCAGATATATGCACTATTGAGCAGGAAAGTCAGATGCTTTCAGATTCTCACTGATTCAGCTAAGAAATAAAAATCAACCAACCAGAGTACAAAAAGTTTGCTGTCTTCATTGGAAACACTATTTTGAGTTGCTAAGATCAGTGACAGCAGCATGGACTTTCTCATATAATAGAGCATAAGACTCAAGAATTCATTTGGGCAGCTCTGACTCAGAAAATATGTACCAACGCTGCCCTATCTGTGTGTGGATATTTGTGTGTGTGCACGAGTGTGTATGTGTATGCACATATAAACATGCATGGAGGAGAGAGGTCAATGCCAGATGTTTTCCACCATTGTTATTTTTGAGCAGGGAGGTGGAGTTTGAGACAAGATCTCTCACCTGAAGCTCCACTGATGTTGCTATGCTGGATGGCCAGCAAGCAAGCCAGACACCCTCCTGTTTCTTCCTCACTGGTGCTGGCATTACAGGTTCATTTTCCATAGCCAGATTTTCACATGGGTACTGGGAATCCCAACTCAGATCCTCATGCTTGTAGAACAAGCACTTTAGTAACTGAGTTATCTCCCCAGCCCCACATATGTGTATAAAGTAAAATGAAAATCAATCTTAAATGAAAATGTGTTAATACAAGATAGATACCTTTTAAAGAAATCCAAGTACAGAAGTTTACAACTTTCCTACACTATAGGAGTCAGTCTATGGGGATGATACTTCTGATGCCTGTAACTGATGGCTACTTCAGTCCCTACTGATGGCACTGTCCCCACTTGATGTTTTTTTTTTTTTTTTTAATTTTATTGCAAAAAAAAACCCTTCAAAGCCAGGCAGTCATGGCACATGCCTTTAATCCCAGCACTTGGGAGGCAGAGGCAGGCAGATCTCTGTGAGTTCAAGGCCAGCCTGATCTACAGAGCAAGTTCCAAGACAGCCAGGGCTACACAGAGAAACCCTATCTCAAAAGACAAAAACAAACAAATGAAACATACACAAAACTTCTGGGTGGAAAAGCCCACAAAACCTAACCTCATCTTTCCGAATATTAACCTAAGTCAAATCCTGTTTGTTCCATACTCCTATTTGCCTTTGTTTCTACTTAAGTTGAATCAAACTAAATCATCTAATATGTAAATATTTCTGATTTAAGTATCTGTTAAGTATATTAAATTTTATGAAGGAAAATTGAGTTTCTTACATTAGCACTGTCCAAAAGATTTTTATATAATGATAGAAAAGTTCAACATGGTACTCATTAGCTGTATGTGGCTATGGAGCACTTGATTAATAAGGAACTGAATTTAATTAATTTAGATGCTGGGGATTGGGCCTTGTGCATGTTAAGCATTAAGGCATCTACCACTGAGCTACACTTCTGGCCCCATTTATTTAATCTTAGGCTAATTCAAATGACTACATTTAAAGTCTCCAGTTATATTGGATAAGAGTTCTAAAATAAAAATACTCATTAGCTTTATCATGAAAGTGCATATTGTTGACTCCCATGGTGGTAAAATAGTAAAGAAATAAAATAATTGTTTTGTCTGCTAGAATAAATTTCTATAACCAGTGTAATAGACATTGTTTGTCTCCTTATTAAATGTGAAGATATCGAGTATTACAGAATACTTCTGTAACATACAAGAATTCTGCATTTCTAGCTATATTTCTAAAATTCTGATAAAAGAAAAAAACAGTAGTTTAGATAGTGAGAGAAATCAAGTCAGTGGGAAAACATGAATAAAAAATTATCAAAACCTGGGTGTGGTGGTATATGCCTGTAATCCCACCTAGCACTCAAGAGATAATGGCAAGACAGCACAAGGGTGAAGCCAATAGCAAGCCTCACATAGCTGCTGCTTACCCAGTTTCACAATGAGGGCCTGGCGAGTGACTGACCAACCCCACCTAGGTTTATGTAAGCACCCTGGAGGATGTTCACAGTACACTGAAATCATGTTATGATGCATCTCTCAGAATGTGCTGCATTTCAGCATAGAGAAAACATCTGAAACTCACTCAAAATTATTAAAATTCTCCAATGATTTATTACCCAGGCTTAACTCAACTTTGGCTTGGCCATCCCACCACAACTGCTGTATAATAGTTTCCTCCCAGATTAAAACCTACCATTTTGGAGGGAATCTTTAGAAAGAGTGTTTATAGGAAAGTAAAATCCCTACAGAAACTCATTAAAAGAAGAATTAAACAACTCATAATAGTTTAGGTTCCTGAGAGAGAGAGAGGGAGAGGAAGAGGGAGAGGGAGGGAGGGAGGGAGGGGAGAGAGAGAGAGAGAGAGAGAGAGAGAGAGAGAGAGAGAGAGAGAGAGTCATTCCTAGACAAGCAAAGCTGCAAATAAGACTCACAGACTAGCACAGCCACCTGGAAGAAGCAGAGACTAGCTAAAGTGCTTAGAACAGTTGTTCTCAACCTGTGGGTTGCAACAATTTAGAGGTACAATCACCTTTTCACTAGGATTCCTAAACCATCGCATATTAGTTACATTACAATTCAGAAGAGTAGCAAAATACAGTTATAAAGTAGCAATGAAAATAACTTTTTGGATGGAGGTCACAGCATTGGGAAGGTTAAGAATCACTGGCTTAGGAGAAACAAAGAGGGGCAGAGCTGCCTAGAAAAGGCTCAGATCAACCTAGCCAGCAGGAATGGACACTCTCGAACCTGTTGTGCTACCTGCAGGCTGTGCAGTGAGCTCCAGGTTTTCCAACTTTCACAAGCTGTCACCAATAATGGGAAGCGATGCAGCTGTGTATAGGCATTTCTGTTCCTCCAAGTTAACACCTCACCCCATATTCCTCCTGTAAGGAACTCCGACAAAACACAATGATTCACCAAGCTAGTCTTTAGTGGTTCTGTTGCCCATTCCTATCTGGGTGAGTGGATGGTTTACTCACAGGAATAAGGTCATACAACTCACTGTCTATACCTCTGACAAAGCACATGCTGCTCCCTCAGCTTGGCGCTGCTTCTACTCTCACCGCAAACTCACTGCTGTGCCCTCAAGCCGCCTCGGCTTGGTCACTGCCTCTATTGGAAACCCTTTCCCATCACCCCCAATCAATGTTCTTCTCACAGTTTTTAACTGACAAAAACACTAAAGAGCCATGATGTGAGAGGGAAACAGACTTACATAATTGTAGTGATCCTAATTTTGTGGGATTTTTATATTCATGACATTTTAAAAGAAAGTTTACATTTGCAAATTCCACATTTCGACATGCACATTTACTGTTTGTGGGCTCCCAGACATTCCTACTTAGGAACATATGGGCCTTTCCTAACATTATTAATACACATGACCACCTCTTTGATTCTAACCTTAGAGTTGTACACAAATACACATGGTGTAATGAATAAGTATATAAACCATCTTAGTTCCCAATATTTAAGAGAAGCCAGCCTCCTTCAATCCACTCATTAACATAATCACAGAAAGCTTATGGAAATAACTGTTTCCTGTTCTTTTCATTGTGTGTGTGTGTGTGTGTGTGTGTTGATTGTGTGGATGCCCACAGAGGCTTGAAGAGGGTGTTATAGTCCCCTAAGCAAGAGTTACAGGCAGTTGTGAGCTGCTTATTACATGGGTGCTGGGAACCAAACTGCTAAGTGCAAACACTTCTTTTAATTAATTTTTTCAAGAAAGGGTTTCCACTGTAACTTCACTCTGTAGACCAGGATGGTCTCAAACTCAGAGATCTACCTGCCTCTGCCTTCCAAATGCTAGGATTAAAGGAATGTGCCACCACGTCTGGCTGAGTACAAACACTATTAACCACTGAGCCCCTCTATTCTTTTCTAAAAGCAGCAGAACCTTTGAGATTTCTTTATCATAAACTAAAGGAATAAACATATCCTACCATGTAACTTTAAAATATCAGCTAAAAATAAATGTAATGTGAACTCTGATATTCCACAGTTGCAAAGACTATCTAAAAGCAATAATCCTCATTAAGTTTAATATAACTTAATACAGCTAAATTCTACAAATAAAGACATTTGAATAAAAAAAAACATAATACTCAGACTATGAACCTTACCTTAGTAGTTCAGTTCAAGCCTCATTATCTGCAGGAAAAAAAAAAATTGAAGCTCACATTAGTGATGTACATTTAATTTGAATTTTTTTCTTCTATGGTATTACAGATTGAACCCAAGGCAAGCTCTACCAGTGAAGTATATAACTCCAGTCCTTTTACTACTTTTGAGATTGGGTCTCACTACACTGTCTAGGCTGGCCTTGAACCTGCCCTGTAATCTAGGTCAGACCCTGAATTTTCAATCCTCTTACCTCAGCCTTCAGAGTAACTAGGAATGCAGGCCTGTGCCTGTTTCCATAATTTTAAGTGTTAAAAGAATTAAATGTTTTAAAAAAGCATTTGACTACATTTATATTTTTAATTTAAAAATACCTAAATGCTATCTATTATCTATCTCAGCCTAAAAACAGCCCTACATCAAATACTACATTTTAATTATTGTTTTTCCTCTGTCAAGATTACCTGTCCCCCTTCTTTTCTAACTTTCCCATGCAGGCACAGCTATAAAATTATACTAGGAATTAA